AAAGTTATATAAATGTAATCTGATTTCTGGCTTCTTTCCATATGCATAGTGCTTTTGAAAAAGTCCATGTTACAGTTTATACAAGAAGTTCATTTTTTTTTTTATTGCTAACTGGCATTCCATTTTATGGTTACACCATAATTTGTTTATCAGTTTACTAGAAAATAAGCATTTTATTTCTTTCTGGTTTTGAGTCACTGTAAATAAAGCTGCATTTAAACATTCAAGTACAGGGGCTGGGGATTTAGCTCAGCGGCATAAGCGCCTACCTTGCAAGCAGGCAGTCATGAGTTCGATCCCTTGTACCGATAAAAACGAAAAAGACAAAAAAAAAAAAAAAAGAAAAAGAAACATTCAAGTACAATTCTTTACGTGGAAATAACACTTTCATGTGTCACAAAGCAAAAGTACATTTAACTTTATATGAAACCTTATATTTTGATGCCTATTTCTGAAAAACACATTTTTTTCAGTCTTTCAATTTTGTTAAAATAATTTTAAAAACTATAACTATTCAAATTATTGACACTGAGCCAAGTGTGGGGGCACACACACTTCAGCACTCAGGAAGCGCTGTTCTGATTAATTGTGTTGCTATATTCAATATTCTGTTTTGACAGGCTCTATAATGTTGGGTATTTGGTGTGATTTTCCTATACCTAATTGAAAGGACAACTATTGTGAAGATAACAAGATATACTATGGTACCTATTACTGTTAACCTAGTAACCTGCTGTGACCTTCTGTACCAATTTCACTGCTTTTTCTCAGTTGGCTTTGTTCTGTTATATTTCACTACCTTCAAAATAATACAATTTTTTTTAAAAAAAGAATCTCAATCTGTTAATACTAATAATAGGTTGCATGTATATGTACACATAATATAACCAAGTATACTTTAGGATGTGAAGAATACAGTTCATGGTTGGTTGAAAGAGCCAAATTATGGTGGTACCTCTGTTCTTGAACTCAATTCTTCCCACAATTCTGGTCACATATCGAATTGAATGAGAATAGAATCAAACTCAATGGTTAGGTTCAGTGTGGACATCATGGGAAAATTTGATTTCATTTGCATTAAATTCAATTTGCGATCAGTTCATCTCTTATCTATGAACCATGGTACTAGTGTATACTAATTTAAAATAATTACTTGTTATGAGAAATATAGCAAAATATTTTAGACCTTTGTCCTCAAAGTGTGATCCATAGGCCAACAGCATTAGCATCTGGGAAGATGGCAGATACACAGCATCTCAATATTACTCAGAACTAGAACTTTAACAAAATTCCCAGACTGATCAGCACATTTGAGAAACACTGCTAGGAAAGGTCAGGAAAGAGAGAAATTGATCCCATGAATAGGACCAGGGTTTCACAGCAGAAACTTTTTTTTTTTTTTTTTTTTTTTTGGCAGGGGGAAGAAATCATCCTAAGTTCCATATTGTATCTTTTAGAAGTTTTTAGAGCTTGACTTTTTAAAATTTCCAATTAACAGAATTTTCTGTGTAGAAAGCTAGATTCTGAAAATAAATGGCTTTAAGAGAAATTTCCCTAAGGAAATTCTAGGGACTACTTTTGATTTCATGGAAGTTCCCCAGACACTGTCCTTCCTATAATATTTTCAGTTTGACCCCACCCTTTACAATCAGTATCACTATGATACCAGTGGTATTTTTGAGAGGAAATACATAGGAATACTCTCTTCAAAATGTAACCATGGGACATTCATTTGATTCTGCGCCTTGTGCTGAGTTACCTAAAAATGCCAATGAACAACTGGCCAGATATTTAGAACAGTATTTCCACTTACTGTTATTTATAACTTGGATCTATGAACTACAGATTGTAGAGCTAGAAAGATTGTAAGAGCTGAGGGCAGTTAGAGACAGTGTAGTTTTGTGTAATATATTACTAAAGAGGCAGCCAAGATAGTAAAATATTTTAAAAGCTGTCAAAGGTGATCTTGCCATTAAGTAATGGAATTGACAGAACAAGAGAAAATCTTTTTGTGGGTTTCCTTCATGTACAATTTCTATCTCACTCAGTATGATGACATGGCAGTACAGTAATACCTCAGGTCACAAATGCTTCTGTTGGCAAACAATTTGGTTCACAAATTTGCATTCTGCAAAATTTTGCTTCCGTTGCCAAATTGCATCAGGAGACAGACACGACTATTGACATCTTCCCTACACAAATACAAATGCAGCCATCTTTCCCAAAATTGTAAAACAAATGAAGTTTGTAAATCAAAATTACTGATTTGATGAGCAAATGAACACGACATTAAAGGAGTGACTTCATGTTGCTGAACCAATTCATCTTTATGTTGTTCCAATCCTCTCTGATCTCTATGGTGTTCAATTCCTAAATCACATCCTTTTGGGTAGTCCTACACTAGCCGTGGTCTCTTGGAAATTCTCTGCCTATGTTTCTAGATTTCTCCTTCCTCCTCTGCCCACCTCTCAGGCAGTAGGCATTCTCAGGCATTAATCCTATATCCAAAGCCCACATTCTCATTACTTCTCACTCAGTTACTTGGAACAAGCTCTAAACTTCCCTTTAAATCAGCCAAGGTGTTAGGCCTGGCATAAAACTGTCAAAGCACAGATCTCATGTTACCATCAGCCACACAGGAAAACCTTCAAAATTTCTTATCTGCCAAATAAGTATAAAATCACTAAACCTAGCATTTGAGTTCTATAATTTGGTCCTTCTATTTAAAGGACTTCCCTTCCTCCCTCTCCTATCTTCCTCCAGCCCTCCCTCTCCTTCTCCTTCTCCCCACCTGTCCTTCCTCCTTCTTCCCCTTCTCCTCTTCCTTCTCCTTCTTCATGCAGTTAATTCCTTAGGTATCAGGACCACCTGCCTGGCAATCAGACTTCCTCAGTTTGAGTCTCAGCTCTTCCCCTAAGTAACTGTATGAGCCTGGGATTTGTCTTAACCTCAGCATACCATAGTTTCCTCTGGGGAATAATGATACTACCCAACAGAGCTCTTGTAAGTAGTAAATATAAAACACTTAAGTATGTGGCATACTCTTCCAAATTTTTTTCTTTTAAAATTACTGAAGGTTTAGCTGGTTATACACCAAGTCTTCGCTAAAAAAACTAGCTTCAAAATATATTAAGAGATCTTAAAGAATTTATGTCATTGTATAATAATAGCATGAAAAAATTAAGTTTCCATTACCATAGTAGTTGTTTTTTCTATATATGAATTTTGACATTTCAAGTATCTGTGACAAGAAGGTTTATTCATCTGAACATAAAATGAAAGGCATTCAAAATAGCAGTAATTCTCTGGCAAAAGTTGTAGACTGTAGAAATATTGAGATTCAATTACTGTGTTATAAGCTTTGTAGCAAACATTTTGTGAGTCAGCAATGTTTAACAAGAAAAGGGGGAAGAGGGCCAAGATTTAGCTCAGTGGCATAAGCATTTGCTTGGTAAGTGCAAGGTCATGAGTCCAATCCCCATACCAAAAAAAAAAAAGATGAAGATTAGAGTATTTCTCAGCCCTAGGCTAGAGAATGGACACAGAAGAACAAACATTGTATAACACATAACAATCAAATTTTATTGAAAAATTATATGACAGAACTATTCCAATTGTTTTATATGTAACATACTTCTAGTCCTTAAAACCAGCCTTTAAATGGTGCTACTGTCATCTCTGTCATATAGACAAAGATGTCAAAGTACAGAGAAGTTAAAGTCTGCCCAAGCATTCCCACACAGTAGAGTAGCAAAGCTGGTTCTCAAACCCACACATGCTAGAATTCATGCTTCTTATCCTATGCATCCTATAGCTCTCACAGTAGTGAAATTTATTTCTGTCTCTTTGATGTCAGAATATGTAAAGAGTGACAGGAAAGGCAGCTCCATACATCAAAATTACTGCATCTCAGGTCTCACTACACTAATGCTGCTGGCAACAGGAAATCTGAAAATCTAGCCCTCCTTGCAGTCTAGATTTTCTAAGAAGTCTACATAGTGGCCAAGTACTATCTAGAGAAGGGCTGTGGAACTATCACAAATATTCTCAGTGTGTACAAGCAAGAGCTCACGAGATTCCCAAGGACTAAATTCCAAGACCATGATGAAAATCCAAATTTGCCAATATCAGTAAATAATAATGTTCTCAGTCAACATGTGTTCAAAAAATCTCCAAACAAGACTATAATACACAAATATACTAGTAGAATAATTGTTCTTAATGAATTGAAAAGAGTACAAGGATTCAAGCATAAAATGTAGCTGATTCCTAATGGAAGTTTTTATTCTAAAGCTTTCTCAGAATAAAACTACTATACTAGTGTCTGAAATTTGTGCATGAGGTTCCAAGAATAATATGAATAATAAACCTAAAAGCTACATTAAGGTATTTTAATGAGATTGCCATTAATTGTTGTATTTAAAGACAGCGAGAAATGGAATTATTTGTCTTGAGAAAACAAGGGCCAGACAGAGCAGCATTCTTGTTCATGGTTAGTATATAGAGCTTGTTATACAAAATTTTTATGCTTTCTGTCATATGTACTAGTTTTAAATTATTACTTCTTGCTTCTATATTGACCTAGAACAGCTCTAAAGAAGCTGTTCTCATTCAGATTAGACTAAAAGTAATATTTAAAAACTTCTATAGCTTCGGGGCTGGGGATTTAGCTTAGCAGCATAAGCATCTGCCTTGCAAGCAGGTGGTCATAAGTTCGATCCCTGGTACCGATAAAAATGAAAAAGACAAAAAAAAAAAAAAACAAAAAAAACAACCTCTATAGCTTGACTTCAGGATATGCTTAAGAGGAATTGATTGGGGTTACATTAACAGTTTTGTAGGCCTTCTGATTACCTGTGAAACTAATTAGGCAAAAAATATCAGGTAGCTGCATATAGAGATAGGCTTTTAACATCACCTGCTAGAGACAGAAACATTGTCTAAATGTATTTCAAACTTACATGTAAGGAATCTGACAAAACAGTGTTGCCTTTGCTTACCTAAACTTTTAGGAATCTATTTCCCAAAGGCCTTCTGCTTCTGAGGGTGAAGAATGTAGCAAGGAGGGACCAGACTTGAAAACTCAAGAGGATATGTGCTGAACTGCTGAGTCTTCTCTACCAGAAATAATCCAAGGCCAGGGTTGTACTGTGCCTTCACTTGCAAATGCTGAAATGAAACACAAAGACAGTACATTTGTAAGAATGGTGAAGCCACTCAAAAACAATTTAAAGACATTAAAAATATTAACGAAAAAGTATTTTAAACTCCTTTCAGATCTCCTTACAGGATGATGAAATTACCAAAACAAACAAACAAACAAAATATGTTAGCTAAACCTACAGCATATCTGAGCTTAGTGTCATACATGACTGGTTTGCCAGAAATCCAGTTAAGTCTCCTTGAAAAAAAAAACACACCCAGCTCAATTAATTCCAAACAACCTAGTAATGAAAGAGCCATTTGTTTTATTTTTCGGCTTTTCTCCACACATACACACAGCTTCATTGTTGAACGCAGAGGTGAGAGAAGGACCTACTGCTCTCAGAGGTCTAAGAGAAAGTGAAGAAGGACAGAGAAAGAATGTGGAGGAGTCTGAGCAGAATAAAAATATCCAGAAGTGAGCAAAAAGGAAGCATGGGCGAATTATTGAGAGAAATAACTAGCATTTGAATGTGCTGTGGGTCCCTTTTGGGGGGGGGGGAGTTAAAAAACATTCCCAGTTTTGTTCCTACTGTAACTTTATCTCACACAAGACTTAGCCTGACAAAAAACTAACTAGCAAAAATTGCATGCTCTCTTCTAATAGAAGATATTTGTATTTTCAAAAAATTCTTAGGTCACAAATATTAAAAAAAACACAACACCAAAAAGATGGTAAAGATTTTATTTTAGAAGGCATTTATGAACTCTAATATCGTAAACAGGGAAACGATTATGTTTGGTTACCACGAAGATCATATAGTAACATGAAAAAATTGATTCTACCAAGTAAGAAAAACAAAATATTAAGCTGAATATTTCTGTGTGTTTGATATATATGATATTATTAAACGGCATTAGAGAAAAACAATCAGTTGTGTATTACAGGGGATTTTATTAAAGTGGATATATTTAAAATGTGTAGAAAACACAAAATTGTTTTTACTATTGCTATATATATATATATATATATATATATCCCACTTTTAAAGTGCTAAGTAGTTGGATCTTTTATAAATTAGAAGAAAAGTGGCCCTTTTTAATGGCTATTATTATATTACAAAAATCTCTGTGATTTCTCATGTGACAGAATCTGAATCTAAAGAAATTACTGACCATCATAAATATTATACAGCACAATTATTTTTCTTAAATGTACAGAACTGCAGTTCCTGTTTCAATTATCTTCTATCCATTACTATGTATTATTAACTATGATAAAGGATCATAGTTTTAAATTTGGAAGAGTTCTTTAGGATTATGTCTGCATGAGGAGGTAAAGAAAATTCGATGTCACACCAGGAGGGGAACGGGAATATAGTTACACCTGGAGAAGCTTAAATCGAGGGATGAAACAAAATAGCCTAGTCTCATGTTTAAGGGCCTTCATGAAGAGGAATTAGCATGGTGCTGAAGGCTCCCAGGTTGGTAAGCCAAGGCCAGTGAATGAAAATTTCAAGGTGGCAGTACTAGCAGCTACTTGCTATGGTAATATTTACACTGCCTAAAGAAAATAACAGGCTGCATGGTTGGATAGTGGGTCACTCATTACTAAAGATATGTGGTTCTAAGCCTCACTTGACAGAGGTTTGCACAGCAGCACTTAACAAACTTTAGTATCTGCTGGCATCACCTAAGCGTCTTGTTAGCATCATATTTGGATTCAGCAGATCTAAAGCAGGGCCAGATTATCTATATTTTCAGCAAGCTCCCAGGTACCCCTCATGCAGTTAGGTCTATGCACAGATTGAACAAGAACTCTAGAATGTTATTTAAACCACTGTTTCTCAAAGTATGGTCTTGCCCAGGGTTTTGGAAAGAGTCCTTTATAGATCTGACTTTTGGGGCAGATGATTAATGGACAAATGAAGGGTTATTAACAGGGTTTTGTGAGTCCACACATTCCAAGTCCCAAAAAGCATGGTATCCTGGTATTCTGGAGTATCTCCAAGATCATAACCTAAGTAATATTTTTATATAATTCCAAAGAAGTTATTTTTTACTTTCATTTAAAAAATGCTACTCTTAGCCTAAGCCTGGAATATAAGTGAAAACAAATAATGAATCAATGAATTTATGACTTCAATATCCTACATTTAACAGAAACAGAATGAAGAAAAACCAAACATGGTACAAAGTAAATTTTCCCAGTCATTTCCATCATAAAACCCTGTGTCCATAAAAGAGATGAGGAAAGTTTCCCAAGGTCAGCAACTGTGTTCTCTGTTAGTATAGGGCTTTGCATTGTTTTTCTAGCCTTGCATTTTATCTCACTACCATCATCTGGATCAGAAGAATTCCTTCAGTGCTTGGAAAGTCCCATTTCTAGCTTGATCATATTTGCTCTGCTCAAGTTATCTAGTAAATCTCAGCTTTCCATCAGATCACAATTTTATGCGATCACTTTCCTGGAGAAATAAGTTGATATTTGAATGTATGAATACTCAAAACTGAAATCATTCTTATGTTTTTCTCCTGAAATAAGTAATCCTGTAAGTACAGGGGAACCAGCTGGGTTGGGTTGAAACTTGTGATTAAGTGCCTGACTGGCACACATCAGGCCCTAGGTTAAATCCCCAGCAATGCAAAAAAATAAATAAATAAGTAAAAAATAAAAGGAAACCAGCTGCCTTTCCTGGACCCTAAAACTCCCCCCTTCCAAAGGGTTTACTGTTTGTCTTTGCTTATAAATTACAAATAACATTCCATTTAATTTACAAAAGTCTGCTTTCAAACTTTTCTGTCATTTATCCTACGTGAGCCTAGATTATTCTTGCCCTATTTAAGTGTCATGTCTTGCTTTTATCCTTAACATTTTTTTTTTTTTTTTTGTATACGCTTGTGATACATGATAACTGTGCTTATCTGGGGCACCAGTATTACACATGCAATCTGGACCATTTTCACTCTCCCTGTCCCCCTTCCTTCCATTTCCCTTCCCATCTTCCCAGAGATTGGGATTGAGGTACATATCAAATGAGCAGATACCAAACTTAAAACTTCAGTGTTGAAACCCAATGAAACAGGGCAGGAAAGAAGAACATTTCATACAGAGTAAACAGCATTTGTAACAGTTCTGAGGTGAGAATGACAATGATACCCTGGATGAAACAAGACTGCCCACAGAGTGGTGATGAAAATAAGAACAGTTAATCTTCATTCCAGTCTCTCCATGCATGACTTCATATAACTGTCAGAACAGTACCAAGATGGCCACTAGCATTCTCTTTCTCCAGAGAGAAACTGAGGCTTAGGGAAGGCCGTTGATTTCTCCATGGTCTTAAGCTAAAGGTCCAGCACTATGGATGTTTCGCTGCTGGTTCTATTCCTGGCCTGGAAGCAATTACAACTTCCTAGGAACTAGGTAAACTTGGAACTTTCCTCATGTTCAATATTCGGTCTGTTAATTTTCATTTCTCACAAAATGATATTGTGAAATATTAGGCATACTAAATAGGTTGGATCTCACTTATAATATCTTAATAAATGTATAGTTATTAGTTAAAATCTACTTAATTAGGAATAATTACATAGAATTTTTAATACAACAGTGTTCATAAATATTCAAATGTTAATATATTAAAAGGCCTTGACATCCATTAACTAAAGCTTCTCAGATTTTTTAAAAACACAGATTTATGTTCTCATCCCTACTTTTTCATCTCCTGTAGATAAACACTAACATAAATGTGATACACAGCCAGTCCACTTTTTGTTTATATATACATACAAACACACATATATATTCATAAACATTGTACAGCAGATGATGTTTCAAGCAACATTTTAACACTAATGTATGAACATAATACTCTGAAATTTGTGTTTTTCACTCAATACTTCTGGCTTTCAGTACAATACACAAAGGACTCGTTTAGTCTACTTAAGTGCTGTAGAAACTCCATAAAGTAAAAATAGGAGAGTTATCTGTTCCTTATAATGAACATTTAGATTGTTTTCAGAGAAGTATTTAACTAAATTGTTATTTTAGAGCCAAATCTCCTTTTGACAATCTGGTAAAAATAGTTGGTTTTGCCACAAAATCCCAAAAATTGCTTTGAAATACTTTAAGATTGAAATTTTCCTTTTAAACAGTCATTTTCTAAAACATAGACTTTTGATAATTCCTCTCCTATCAAAATACTCATATATTTAAAATATTACCAAAAGAGAATGTAAACATTTAAAATGAGAAAAATTACTAGTTTATCTTATGGAAAAAAATACACTGAAGAGAAAACGAATGCAAAAAATTAGCTTACTACAACCACTTTCTCCTCAACAAAAACTGATAGAAGACTCAGCCTCCTGAAGAAGATAAACACACCAAAGCCTTCCCTGGAATCTTTTGTCCTTATTCTGGCCAGAAGATAATCCAAGCAAAACATTACAGGAAAGTTATTTCTGTTTTAGAATCAAAAGATTGTGAAGCATCTACTATGTGGACAGTTAAACCAATAAAACGACTGGTCTTTGATCTTGAAGTGGTTAGACCTATATGTGGTGTATATATTAATGCAATTTTTAGCTCAAGTATATTGCAACAAGGTTTATTATCAAGTATAAACTAAAGTTAAGGCTACAAATACATGAAGATTCATCTATGGGATTTCTATACCTTTAGCATTATTTTCTATAAAAATGAGAATCTCAAAAGGTAAATATTTCCTAATACTTGTAATTATTTACTAATACCGGTGTTTGTCACACTATAAAACAATCCCGTCATGAAAACATATCCAAAAAATTGAAGAGGAGCATTTCTCTTCTGAAAGAGAGAAAAAAAGATCCTTTTTCAAGTTGATTTCCAAAGAATTATATGCCACCCCAAGAAGGTAAATAAGAAAGGAATCTGAGCTTCCAATAAGTGCACTGAGCATTGCAATGGAAAGTGTAGATAAAGGTATAGGGATCCCACAGACGAGTCTTCACGGATTTGTAGCCTTAATTTTAGTTTATACTTGATAATAAACTATGTTGCAATGTACTTGAACTAAAAATAGCATTAATATGTACACCACATATAGGTCTAACCACTTCAAGATCAAAGACCAGTCGTCCTTTTATTTATAGCTATACCACAGATAGTCTAACCACTGAGGGTCTACTTGCTTGTGAAACTATTCAGCCCCAGTTTCACAAGCAAGTAGAAAAATGTATAAGCACATTCCACAGGCAAGACAAGAAGGTATTATTTCTTCTAGATCCCTGGCTTAAGCCCCAGAAATCCTCCTAAACCGAGAAATACCCTCCCAGGCTTCAGAACAAAGCCCAGTACCCAACCAAAATTCATTCCACTAGTTAGTAAGAAAATGGGCAAACTGTAGAAGCTCTATATTTGTCCACCCACCTGTCCATCTACCCATCTGCTTCTCCATCACAGACTTTTATTACACATCTATCATATGCTATGGAATCTCATGATGCAAGGACTGAGCTGAGAGTGAACAGCCATACTAAAGCTAAGTCCCTGTACCCACACATTTAAACACACAATTAAATAAAAATTAAACTCATGTCTTATGCTTGACCTCTTCCTTGTAGGCTGGCAGCTCACTATTTTATAACTTTTATGTTATATTAACTATGCATATAATTCAGAAAATATGACTATCCTAAAGTTGCTTTCCAAAGATCAGAATACTTCTCAACACCTCAAACTAGAAGTTGAAAAAGGCCTAACAAGAGAATAGAGAACAGCAAAACAAAAACAAAACAAAACAAAAAAAAAAACACCAAACCAGGCCAAAAAACCCATATACATTTAAACTAACATTACTCAAACTTCTGAAAGTTCCTGTTTGGAGTTTTACTAAATGTTCTAAAGATTTCTCCACAGTTAGGGGGTTGCAGTAACTGCTGACTTCAGCACATACAGGAAGGAGAAGTTGAGGAGTGTACACTTACTTACCCTGCAGTCAAGGTAGGCTGAGATATCGAAGAGTAAAGGACAGTCTATGCTAAGAGAATTTAAAAGTGCTCTAGGTCCCACAGGGAGCACACACAGAGTTCAGGAACTGTCTGGAGCCTAATGCCAGAAAGGCAGCCTGAAATGAAAAAATAAGTATGTTTGTAAGATGTTTTGAAATTAACCTTTTGCTAAAGAAAGTACATCCTGTGACCTACCAAGCTTTCCTGTTACTAGGAAAATCAAATTGTTGGGCTGCTTATTGGTCTGTACACTTTTTTATTTTCACAAATATGAACTGAGATTTGCTATGTGTAAGAGCAGCAGACTGCAGCCTTTATTTACAACACACCACATTACTTGGAAAAGAGGGAAAGCATTTTAAAAGTGAGCTGAACTTTTTTTTTTTCTATCGAAAGTGATTCTAGATGAAACAAACTGAGGAAAACTGCACCAAGGATACGGCCCCACTCTTGGTCTGAAAGGATGAATTAGGACATTTAATGTAAATGTCTAAATTAAAGATATCTGCAGGACCACCCTTTTGAAAAGTGAACGGAGAATCCCTCTTCCAGGCTTTGGGTAGTTTGCTGGTCATCTCAAGCACTCTGCGGTTTGTGGATGCAGCACACGAACTTTCCTCCATCTTTCAGTGGTGCTTTCCCTGTGACTGTCCTCATGTAAACACCAGTCATATTAGATAAGGGGCCCGGCCCAACCCAGTATGACCACATTAATTTGCCTAATTACATCTGACATGAACCGATTTCCAAACAAAGTCACATTCTTAACTGGGTATTAGGGCTTCAATCTATCTTTCTTAGGGGTCACAGAAGTGAACCTAGAATATCCTCCAAGAATGTAGTACTTGTGGTCAGCCAGATGCTCTAGAGCCATTTAGCACACATTGGTGATAATAACTTTAAGGGGAAATGAAAAAGTTAACCTATAGTGATAAAAGTCAAAATAGTAGTTACATCTGAGGAACCTAATAGTGACTAAATGGGAACATGTGGTACCCTCATTAAGGTTCTATTTTCTTACCAGGAGACAGCTTACCTGGGTATGTTTACTATGAGGAAATGTATTGCAATATAGTCATATGGTTTGTGTATTGACTTGTATGTCTGACTGTAACTATTAATCATGATGTCACCTCCACTGGATTAACAAACAGTAGATTAGTAATGCAACTAATAGGTATGTCCTTGTGGGTCACGGAGATATTATCTTGGGTACTACCTATGGTCCTTAGCTCATTTATCTCTGGCACTGTTTCCCTGCTCTGCTTCCCAGTTACTATGAACTAAGCATCTTTGCTCTGCCCTGTGCTTCTGTCATGATGTTCCTGCCTTACAACCAGCCAACCATGGACTGAATTCCCTGAACACTGAGCCAAATTAAACCTCTCCTCTTTTTAGTTGTGTTGAGTACTGTACCTAGAGATGTGGATGCTGCTTAATATATTGATAACAGTTTCATAAAACGTATATGAAATACTAGAAAAGACAATGTTTTCCAAGAAATAGAATCTTGGCAGCCCAAGTAGAACTTTAGAGAAGGCATTATCTGGAGGGAGTCGTGCAGCTGGGACGCAGCAGGTCAGCCTAATTCAGACACTCAAGTGGCCAGTTCATCTGAGAAGTGAAACTCCAAGGAGACTTTTTTTAAAACTAGAAATGTTAAAGGAATTCATTTGCAAGAAGAGTATTACGTAGCAAGGAGTCTATATACTTGAATAGGCAAAATAGCAATTTTTATAGGTAAACACAGGAGTGATAATTACAAAATTATTTGAGAAGCATAGGCCCACAATAAAGGTACATTGTACCCTACCTAGTGCTGGAAATATGTTGACAATCTTTGTTCTTTGTCTCCATAACCTTCTTGCAGCTCTTTTACCTGAATTCCATTTTCAAGTTAATTATAGTTTGTGTAAATTCCACTGCTTTTTTGCTTTCAAATCTAATTCTTCCCCAGGAATTTTAAGTTCTACAGTTAATTTGCATCCTATTGCTTGATTTCCACAGAGGAGAAATCACCAAGAGAGTGAAAAGCCACTAGGCAACACTAAGACCTGATATAAATCATATTTTGTGACTAAAATCTAGATATAAGGTTTTCTAGAATTAAGTATAATTCATAAACTTAAACATCAAGCATTACATATACCATGCATATTGTATTAATACATCAAAACAAGGAATCAAAAGAGAAAAGAAGCCAACATTTAACTGCAATGCCAATAAAATAAGCCAAATATTGAAAAAGTTTTACATATAAATGATGAAATATGTATGCACAAAATAAAGCTGCAAATAGAAACATTTGGCTTTCTATTGTGTAAAATTCCATTGTGTCAAATTCTATTGTGTAAAATTCAGGGTACTGAAAGTTTCAAAATCAGAATTTGTAGTGATCCTCTTGACAGTTCTCATTGGCTGACTCCACATTGCCAAAGCCATACTTCTTTTGATTTGCCTGCCTCAAAGGTTGTAAATGATACTCTGAAAATAACCCTTAACATCTCTGTCCTTTAAACACTCAATGAGAGCTCTAATTATCAATTAAATATTATTTTAACTAATGTTGTCATAGTCAGGGGTTGTGAGGTGAACAATTAGCTTCAGGACATGGAGTTTATAATGTTGTTTTATGATGGCAACCCAGAGATAACACAAGAAAATGCAGGAAATCTATCCACAACACTAAAGATACAGAATATTTAGCCAAAGGCCTGAATCCCACAGCAGTGTCCCACATGAGTCCTGATGAAGACCCAGAGCTCATGACAATGCCTCCCACGAGTCCAACTGGAGGTCTAGAGCCCATAAGAAGAACTCACGCCAGTCTCCTTCATGGATCCATGTTGGGAAGGCCCAAAGGTCAGCGGTGGAAGCTAGGAACTCTATGCCAGCAGGGTGAAGGAGCTGTGCTCATAGGTTGAGGGTTCTACACTGGAGCCGAGAAGTCACACTCACAACAAAGATCAGGGTTGTCCTGAAAAGCACCACAACCATCCTCAGCGACATGGAGGCCCCGAGCTCCTCCAACGACAAGCATAGTCGAGTACACGCCAGGAAGCCAGCATGACAAGTTCATTCTGGAGACCAAGTGGTACATCTTCCTCTCCTGAGCCAGGAAGCAATTCTTGATGTAAGGACCAGAACTTCTCCAAGAGAACCTAACGACTCAAAGAGCAACACATAAGAGAACCCACAGTGCCTCAACGCCTCAACATGCCTTAAGCTTCTCCTTCTCCACATCTCTATTTATGCTGGCAACTTTCCTCAGGTGAGACATCTACGCTCAGTACCACGCTATGTAATCCAGCTGACATTAAGCTGACCACCAGTTTTTAATCCATAAGAAATGCTTTACCATTTTCTTATGAGAAAAGCAACTGAGGAGATGTACTATGTACATATCATATGTAAAGTTCAAGTCCACTTTTATAAGTACCATGCAGAATCTGCCCACTATAAACTGCCTATATAGATCAACCTCTTTCATGTGGAGTTGTTAGAAAAATAAACAAGCCATAAAAGCCTTAACTTTGAAAGAGGTGACTCCTACAGCCTCTCTTTCCTCATCTCCTGACGTTTGACTTTAAATATTATGCTCTAATAATAACAAACTTTGAGCTGTTCTCAGGCCTTCGCAGGATTTCGTGCTTCAGTGCCTCTGATCATGTTGTTCCTGCAGGGCTGGGGATATAGCTCAGCCGGACAAGTACCTACCCGGCAACTGCAAGTTTGTGAGTTCAATCCCAGGTACAAAAACAAACAAACGAAAGTCAGGTTTTCATGTTGTCCCTGCAGTCTGGAATTCTATCCCTACCCACCTTTCTCCCATCAACCTTCCTATTAGAATTCTGATCTCAAAGCAGGACTTCCCTTTCTACCTCCATCCTGTACTTGAAGTCTAAGAAAGAAAACATAAAGCTATTTTGAGAGTAGGTTTAGATAACCATCAAATTTTTAAACAACAAAATCTTTAAACTGAATGTTGTTTGTGTATCTGGAAAGCACAGTTTTTATTCCTTAATCATGATTTATTTTGAAAATTTCCTAGTCTTATCCAACCAATACTTTTCTTTTCCCCATCCTCACTCAAATATGGATGTACACACACACACACACACAGCATCAGTCTACTGGGTGCCCATGGGTTCCTATACAACAGTGCAGTGTCTAGCACATGATAGACGCCCAAATACTTATTACTGTTCACTGAAGAATAATTAGCTACAACAACATTGGTAGATGTGTGTAGTTCAAAATTAAACCAAGTGGTAAGAAGAAACAAATGAGAACAATTAGAGCTGTATAAATCAGAAAAGCTTTCTGAAGGTAAGTTTTAACTGGTGAAGAATACAGTTTTAATAAAAGCTATAGTAACTGCAGATAACACTAATTAAATGTTTACCATTTGGCAGCAACTACGTGAAACTATGTATATTGGTGTGGTGGTTAAATTTGATTATGTCAACTTGCTGGCTTGGCGACTGCCCTAGAATTAGTAAAGCACACTTCACTAGGTGGGTCACAGAGAAGTGGTATTGGGATCTATATCTAGCACCTCAACCCTGGCTCTCTGACACTGTTCTGTTGCTCTGCTTCACAGCTCCTATGAACTGGGCATCTTTACTAGACCATGCCCTTCCTTTAGAATGTTTCTCTGGGAGCCAGCCACTCATACACTAAATCACTGAAATCATGAGCCAAATTCATTACTTTCTCCTTTAAACTGTGGGTGTTTGGTATTGTGTCTCAGCTTCTAGAAAGCTGATAAATACAGAAAGTTGATGCTCAAAAAATGGAGTTGTTGCTGTGACTACATCTTGTGATGTGGTGGTTCAGAAACCCTTGGAACTGGTTTTTGTGAGGAGTTTGAAAAGGTTTGGAGAAGCTGGGCAAAGAAACCTTAGAATGCTGTATAGCCTATGGGTGATTCTTGTCTGACTCTTACACAAGAATGCTTATAGGAATGTGGACCATAAAAGAGAGGCTTAGGAGGCTTCAATTGGGAATGAGGACTTCATTAGCAATTGGGCTAGAGAATTCGTGTGTTACACTCTGACAGAATTATTTGTCTACATTTTTCCTGAGACTTGCAGGAAACTGAGATTAAAGATGG